TTCTTGGAGAAAATGTACTGTATAACAAATAAAATTATTATTGAATTTGCTTACTTCCTGTCTAGAATAAGTATCAACAAACTCCTCAAAAAGTCTAGAATAGATGTGAATTCCAAACTCCCTAGCTTTTTGTTCTTTGCACGCCAGTAAATACTCAGACAAAGAAAGGAAGAAAGGAAAATATTCCTGACAACAATAAAGGAAACAGTCAAAACAAGATTCTAAGATACAACCCAAATGCAGTTCTATATTGGAACAAAGTGAAATCCTTCTCATTCCAAAAATGGTGATATATACCTGTACCAGTTCCCTTTTCCCACAAATGCACTGATCAAGCAAAACTTCCTGAATGCAGCCTTCAATAATCTTCTTCTTAAAGATCTTCTCAATGCTCTTTCTCATGGAATTGCAGTTTGTGTGTATGAGCATAAGCAACCATATATCTATGACTTTGTGATCTCGAGGATTCTCAAGGCAGTTCAATTCTTTCAAAATCTCCTGACACAGTATCTAGAATTGGAGAAAATGTAAGAAATCCTGATTTAAATTAGAGAAACACATGTGCACTCACAAAGACAATTTCTTCTCAAACAAGTAGAAATATCAACTTAGATTCTTATTTAAATTCATTTATGAAAAACACTTAATTTCTTAAATGGAAAACTGGATGAAATGCCTCTTTTTTGTCAACACACATATGCAAACACAGATATATTGACTTTTAAACAGCGCAAAAAAACACTTACATTCTTAAACCAAAGACTAGATCTTAAGGCATCTAAAATAGATGCCTCTTTATTGTCAACAACTAACTTCCCTTTAAGTTTACTGCATTCTGTTCCACGAGAATTTGATATTCCAACAAACTTTAGCTGCTCACGGATCTGAGAGATTATTCGCCTGATATTTGTTTGTGCGGCTGAAAGAAGTAAAAATCTAAGCAGATATGGCATGTGTTCTGCATCAATTGCTCTAATACAGGATAATCCTATCGTTATGACCTTCAAAGTGAAAAACCAAGCTGAATTAGATATCAACATAACAAGTAACATGCACGTTAGCACTCCCTTGGTGGCTAAAATGTTAGTAAAAAAAAAAAAAACGTAAAAGCTTTAGTCTTCCTTTCCTTTCACAATAACAGAAGAATAAAAAAGGTTAACCCAACTCCTAACTGATAAGATATCTGATTTGAGTGAAATTTCATCTCTGTTCATGTCACTAAAGAAACTACAACAGATAAATAAGCAGCAGCAAATAAATAATTGGCATTCCACTTGTAGGTAGGAAGCAAACAGTTCAGTGCCATATCTAATGGATGTTATTTGTAGGATATAAAAACCTTCTAAATTTCACATTTATGAAGGAGATTTGGAGATCAAATGATGTCCATGTATTGAGCTTCATATAACAATATGGTAGGTTTATATACAAGAGATATGCTCATACATATCTTGAAAATGCCCAAAACACAATAAAGGGAGACAAAAGAGTTAGGGAACATTTATTTACAGGGAAATGCATTCCAAGTTCAAGCTTGTTGTCTTTTGATAAGAAAATGGTTTCAAACCGATAGGGAAACTGTTTTCTGTAGTGAACAACTTCCTAGAAAAGAACATGTCAGATGACCCTATAAAATTACAAACAAGCCAAAAAAAAAAAAAAAAAAAAAAAGAAGAGAAAACTCTGCTCTAATTCAGTTCAGTGTTTGTTAAATGCATAATTACTCAAAAACCCTATCTTTTCTGGAGGAAAGCTCTGTCAGATCTATGAAGTCAACTAGTTCATCATAGAAGTCAACTTTGCTGGATGAACTTTTTGATTGTCAATGTTGAATTAACAAGTTCTTATGATAGCATTATTATGGAAATTATAAAAGTCTAACAATTCATTTTTAATTGCTTCAATATATATCACTAAGGCATGTGAGCTTGCAGCTCAATTGGTGAGGTGCATGTTTCCCATCCATAAGATATATATGGAGAGAGATAGGATCAATTTACACACAACACTTACACAATCCCTGACCATTCATCTTTCCACTATGAATGGCTGAAATTTATCAACCTTTTATCTTATTTTTTTTAAAGTCAATTCTTTTTCATCTAAAAAGTCATGATAAATCTCAATCATTCATGGTGGAAAATGAATGGCTATGATTTTGTGTAAGACTTGTGTGCAAGTTTTATGTGTGATGATCCTAACTCATATATATAAAGGGAGATTAGTGTTTATCAAAAGGAGCTGCAAAAAATTAGGGAGAAGAAGAAAACCCAAAACTAAGCTGTTTTAATAAAGCACCACAAGAAAAGATTAAAATATTCTTCATTCCGACCCTAAAAATATGTTATTTCAGTCTTTTTCAATGCAAGTTGATTGAAACAATGTAGTTCTATCATTAGAAAGCATTAGGTACTTTTCCTTACAAGAATGGTCAAATAATATGCTAAAAAAAAAATCCTATTTGACCATCATAATGAGATTCTATTCACCAAGGGTATGGTGACAATGTATTACCAAATATGAGCCAAACATAGGAAATCCACCTTCCACCATGCCAAAGAGCCAAAATGCAAGCTAAATGAATGGAACTATGATAGAATATTCACTTGTGGAATTTACTAGACAATAATTTTCTGTAGGATGAACACTGTGCACCTTAGTATTTGAACTTTGTTTTTCCTCTAAGACCACTACTAACCTTAGAAATAAAACAATAAAGCATACCTGTTCTTGCAACTGCACATCCAAATTAAGGTTGGAAAAAGAGTCGAGCACAGGTACAATAACAGATGAATCTTCTTGAAGCATCTGTTCAAGGGAGTCAACCACAGTCTTGTTATTTTGATCACCAATGATCTCTGGTAACGATCCAATAATCTCTTTCTTTAGGTCTAGAGGACAAATGGAAAGAACTTGCATCAATTTGTCCGTGAAGGCATTGGGATCCTCAATAAAATCCAGCCACCGAAATTGATTAATGATGAGCCTAGCAACATCCTCCTCAAGAGGCAATGAGGCCGGCACATCAAAATATTCAGGAAGTTTCTCGAGTAGCATGTTCTGTACATCTAGTTGGATGGACGGTACGAGCAACAGATGTCGGACTAAGCTGTCATTTCTTATGGAAACAGGACTACCGCCATTGGAAGAAGCAATCACCCTGAATGCATTTAATGGAATATGAAAAGTAGAATAGCTTCCGTTGCCTCTTGGAAAGGCCAAATTTCAATCATTAAATAAAGCATCTAATAATTCTACTGTTTCTTGGCAAAAACCAATATTTAGCTCTTTACCTTATAAAATTGATAGCTTTTAACTTTTTATCTTATAATATAACACTTTTAACCTTTTACCTTATAAATTTGGTAAGTTTTAACTTTTTATCTTACAAAATTAGTAAGTTTTAACCTCTCACCTTATATTATGATATTTTTAACCCATCACCTATACGAATTAAAAAAAATAACTCCCACCTAAGATTAAGTTATAACATTCTGTTAGTTCTGTTATCTAACTGTTAATATCCGTTAGCATTTCGTTATAGAAAATATAAAATTTAAATTCAATTTTATTTGTTAATTCCATTAATGAAATGCCAACGGATGTTAATAGTTAGTTAACAGAATTAATAGTTAGCTAACAGAATATTATAACTTGATGTTAAGTTAGAGTTATTTTCTTTAATTGGTATGAATAAAGAGTTAAAAGTGTTATAATATAAAGTAAAAAGTTAACACTAACTAATTTTGTAAGATGAGGGATTAAAAGCGATCAACTTTTTAAAATAAAACGTTCAAAATGTTATATTATAAGATTAAAGGTTAAACCAATTTTGTAAGGTGAAAGGCTGAAGTTTGGTTTTAGCCACTGTTTCTTTTGGACAATTTTGCCTGTTTCGTTTGATGAGAAAAATTAATACTCTTTTTCCCATCGCAACGTTTTAAGATTTGAATTCTGAAAATTGGATTAGGACAAACTGAAACCCTAAAAACTCAGCAAACATCCTCAAGAATTTAAGATTTAAACAGAAACCAATCCAACTTACCTGAGAAGATTTTGGGGAGATTGAATGTAAAAAGAGAAGCCTAAGAGAAAATGCGAGCGATCGTCAGAAGAAGAAGCAAAGTGGGAGGAGAGATGACAGCGGAGCTTGTGGTGGTCCGGGCAGAGTGGGCCTGACGGGTTTACCAACGCACAACCACCTTCAGCCAAGATGGACACCATCTTTTCGACTGCATCAACACCGTCGTCGGAAGATTTGAGGGTTTTGGAAGGAAGTAAAAGGGGGACAAATGAGGCCGAAGGCCTCTTGCGAGAGGGATTTTGTTGGTGGAGGAATACCATTTCTCCACAGGAATTCGCTTCGTCGTCGCTATTCAGTGAGATTTTGGAAAAACTGAGGCGCCAAATTTCAAGACGAGGACTGGAGGTTTTTAATATTTTGGGGAATAAAATGGCATAAAACGGGCTGGGCTTGCACTAATAGAATCACGGGCTGGCTTAAGTTTAGAGTTGAGCGTCGGCTACTGATATATCTGTGATTTGTAAGTATTTTATTTATTTAGACAAATATTATATCTAAATTGTAAAAAAATTATATACATAAGTAATGAGTATAAAAATAATATATTTAAATTAAATAATAAATGTAAAATTTTTAAATCATTTATTTGATTTATTTAATCATCTTATTTAATTAATTTGTTACATGTATTTGTATAATTAAATTTTACTTACACTTATTATACTTTATATTTATATAATAATAATAATATTTTAAAATAAAATTAAAAAAAAAAACTCTAAACCGAAGAAATCACACACAAAGTAGTAACAACTCAAATAACAACTAATAAGGTCTTCTTTTTTTTTTTTCCTAAATCGATTACACAAATATACACTCACAAGTATTTGTACCTTTTGGGTTAGGTATCAAATATAAGTTTTCAAGTATTTGGATAATTATCAAGTTTAAAAAAATATATCAAATATAAGTCATACATGATTTGTACCTAAAACTACCCTCCTTTACTTAGGCTCTAACTAAAACTGATCAAATTCGATTCAAACTAATTGATCTAATTGACATTAACACAATTTGATTAAAATCCAATTTAAATAGACATCAATCTAACTTGGTTTAGATTATAAAAGTTTAGAATTGATGTAAATAGTTTGGTTTTTAATTTTACCTTAGAACCAACAACCACTTAAGTACAAAATAACTTAATTAAGTAATATAACATTTTAACTTATGTATTTCTATTGTAAATAAATTTTTAGAATTTTGTAGTAAAATAAAAATATAATAAATTCTCTTAATTTTTTTTATACAAGTTGATTTTAAATTTTACTTTTCTTGTTTTACTTTCTTTTTAGTAGAATATTTTTTATGGTAGTAACATAATATTAATTGTATTAACTATCATTTTTTATTTTATTTTTTACTATAATTATACAACATAACTTAATTAAATATAATGTAACCCTAAATTGTCCCTTGTACAAACAAGAGTTTTACTCTCAAAACTCTCTACTTTAATAAACAGTAACAGCCATGGGCTTCAATATCTTGGTTGTCATATTAAATCTCATAATTTTTTCTTGTCTTCTTAATTCTTTAATTTAGTAGTTAGTACTATCATTCTATTGTCTTTAATAATTTTGTTTTCTATAATTTAATATATATTTAAAATAGTATTATTAAAAATTGAAAAGTCTAATCAAACCACACCGATCTAATCCAAATTGGATTGTTTTTCTTACAATACGGGTCATAATACGTTTACCCAATTTTTTTACACACTTCAGTTACACCCAACCCTTTCTGTTATTTTTTCTGTTAATTACACTTAACTCCGTTATCATCCTCTTCATCCATTATCTTCTTCATCCATTATCTTCTTCCTCTTTCTTTTTCTTCTCTTTTTTTTCCTCTCTCTCTCTTCCATCATCGGGTTCCAAGAGAACCCAAATCAAGGTTCTCCACGAGAACCTAGATTGGGTTCTCTCAAGAACCCAGCTAGAGAACCCAGGTCAGGGTTCTCTTGGAACTCAATGATGGAGGAGAGAGAGAGGAAAAAAAAGAGAAGAAGAAAGAAAGAGGAAGAAGATAATGGATGAAGAGGATGGTAATGGAGTTAAGTGTAAATAACGAAAAAAATAACGGAAAGGGTTGGGTGTAACTGTAGTGTGTCGAAAAATTGGATAAACTTATCATTACCCCTTACAATATAATTGTGAATTGGATTGGTTTGAAAATTTTACTAATTAATTAAATTGGTTTAGTTTTTAAAATGTTAAAATTCGATCTAATCCACATTGCAAACACCTATAGTTCTAATCTGGAGTCAAATGGAGAAGATTTGGGAAATAAAAAAAAAAAAAAAAAAGAGGAAGATTCCTTTATAGTATATCCACTAGATTTTCCTTCATTATTTAGGGAAGGTGTAATTTGCAATCTTATATAAGTAAAAATGCTCTAATAAAATTCATTATAAGTATATCAGTAATTTTTGTAATGTCTATAATATCTTTTTTTTAGATGCAATAGTTAAAATATTAAATTTTTATTAAAATTAGTTAATTACTCTAAAATTAAAAAAATAACAATCAAAATTCTTCCTACACATTTTTCTTAATTTTTTTTTCATTATTAGAGGTGAATGTATTTTGTTCAATTCAAAATCACTCGATATTTAAAATAAATTTTTTTATTAACTTAGTTAAATTTTTAATTAATTGAAATATTTTACTTTGATTAATGATAAAAGACTTTTTTTTTTTTGCTAAAGAAATTTAAAAGAAATTTGTCAATTGAATGAACCCTATTAAAAAAAAATCAAATTTTTTATAATCAAAACTAAATTTTTGAATTATGTTTAGTTATTAAAATAAAAATCATTAATTAAAGTAATAAAAGACGAGAGAGAGAGGGCTGCTTATTTTCTAAAAAAATTTTAATATTTATTTAATTAAAATTAATAAGTACTTAATATTTTAATATTTACAAAAAAAAAAAAAACGTATTATAGACCTTTTAAAAAGTTCTAATACACTTATGAGAAATTTAATTAGAACATTTTCACTTAATTTGAATGAGAAGTTTGATGGATGCACCACAAAGGATTTTTTGCTAAAAAAAATATTATCTTTTATTGTATAATCTATCATTTAATACAAAAATAAAATAAAATAAAATAACACTTGCAAAGGAGTCTCTCTTGAGTTAAGGTGTATTTGACAATGTAATAGTTATAATGTTATATAAAATTCTAAGTTTATAATTATAATGTATCATTAAATATGTATGTAATCTATCGTTAAATGAATAGATAGATAATATAATGAGCAAATCCTTTGAATAAAAAGAAATCAATTATATAACGACACATTATATTATAATGTAATGTAATATTGTAACTATATCATTTTAATGTATAATTGATATGAATGATAATATTAACAATTTTTAACAACAAAATTTATGGTAATTATTGATTGTCTTTGGATCCAAATGCATTCCTGTATTGGGTCCAAATGCATTCATGTAATAAAGATTAAAATAATTTTATTACAAAAATTTTATCCAAAAAGTAGAGTTTAAAGCTGGTGCATTGCATTGGATTTTTGTGTCAACATTATATAAATTTTTATGGTAAATCTTATAGTAAAATTGTTTTAAAATATTGTAGTTATTTTTATATATAGCAAGCCAAATTTTTTTATGAAGTTTTTTTTTCAAATGCTACTAGGGTGGTGAGTGGAACATGGAAGAAGGAGGAATAGTTGGCCAACTAAGTAGGTGTAACCTGATAATTTGAATCATAAAACTCTAAATTCTAAACTTTAACTTTTAAATTTTTAATGTTAAACTCTAAAATTCTAATATTATAAATTTAAATATTAAATTTTGGGTTGAGGGGAATAGAGGAGAGAGAAAATATTTATTTATTTATTTATTTATCTAGATAAAAAAATAAATAAGAAAACTTCTCCTTCCCTCCCTCCCCTCCCATCAACTCAAATATATGATAAATTTTTAATTCTAAATGTAAAATTATAAACATTAAACCTAAAACTATAAACCCAATATTATAAAAAAAAAAATAAAGCTTAAACAATAAATGTTTACTCAAAAATAGTAGCAAATTCAACAAGGTTTACCAATTTTTTTTTAAATTAAATGGAGGCTAAATTTTAAGTCTCATGTAAGTGAAGATGCTTAAATTAAATCCTCCGTAAGTGTATTAGAGTTTTTGAAAGATCCAAAATAAAATTTTTTTGACAAATAATTAAAATGTTAAGCACTTATTAATTTTAATAAAAATAAAGATTAAAATTAAAAAATAACAATAATCAAAACTCTCCCTCACCTTTCTTTTATTACCTTGATTAATGATTTTTATTTTAATACCTTTAACATAATTTAAAATTTCAGTTTAAATTACCAAAATTTTGATTTTTTTTTTATTGATATGATTCATACAATTAACCAAATTCTTTTAATCTTTTCAAGTAAAAAAAAAGTTTTTAATCTTTAATTATTAACCATAGTAAAATATTCCAATTAACTATCACTATAGGAAATAGATATTTTGTTGTGGTAAAATTAGTGACAGAAACTTATATTTTTTGTCACAAATCACATTTGTATTTAAAATTTAATTGGTTACTATCTATTACAAATACTGAATCACTACAATTAATAGTAACTAATTTTGCAATCTTGACAAAAAATTTATGATTTTAGTGACTTAAAAAACATATACAATTATTTATTTATTTGTAACGATTTTATGCGTCACAAAATTATTTGTGACAAAATAATTGGACATAAAAAATGCTTTATTTATAACTTTATAATTCATCACAAAAGAAATTTTTATTGATATAAAATTTGATCACTGATACAACATCATTTACGACATTTTCTTCTTGTCACAACTAGAACTATCTATGACAAAATAAAAATGAAACAAATGATACCATGTTAGTCATAATTAGGATTATTTGTGACAAAAAAAACTTGTTACAACTGCTCCTATTAATGATAAAACAAAAAGGTCACATATTAAATATGTGATAAGAGTTTTTAGCTTTAAAAAGGCATATTCCAAAAAACATAAGAAGGGTATTTTCGTAATTTTAATAAATACTAGTATCCGATAATTTCATTACGAAAATAACATAACACCAACAATCTCTTACAAAATCGACCACTAAAAATCAAATATAATAATTGAATAAAAAAAATTTTGAATTAAAAAATTATTTATTAAATAATTCTAATTAAACTTACTTTTAATATAATTAAAAATATAAAATTATATCCATAAATTTAAACATGTTCAATTTTAAAATTTTTTAAATTCAACTATAAAATAATAACCAAATCTTTGAATAGATAAAATTTATTCAAAATAAAAATATTATTAAATAAAATTAACA